TTGTGGAAAAATCTAGCCATGAGTGTCTTAACAGATTTCAGTCCCCTTGACTCCTGCTGGGTGCTTTCAGAACACACAAAAAGACTTGAATTGAACACACAGTCTTACAGATAGAAACATTTATCATGAGACTTGAAGCTATTATTTTAAGAAATAGCTAGGCACATGTTATAAAATATAATCCTGAGAACTGAGGCAGGATGGTGTCTTTTCACAGTTCTAGTTCTCCAAGGAATTTAATGCTAAGAAAGCATATGACAAAACGCCTCATCACTCCTCACGCTCTTGCGAGGGGTCCATTGACTGCCATGTATGTTGTGAAAGTACGTGGGATTTTACAGTGTTGTTATTGTTGATAACTGAACTGGCTTGAGTGCCCAGAGCCTGCGTGACTCCAGCATCTTTCTCTTCACAATGAAGTGTCCTATGCTTTCCTTTTACATAAAATAGCTTATTTACAGCTTAAACTATATGCATAGCTCTTCACTTTCCAGAAACAAGGACAAGAAGGTTACTCTTACCTGCCCCGAATTTCTATACTTAGAAGCAAGGGCTCCTGCAACAGCACGGTCCACATTGGCACTGTCAAACACTATAAAAGGAGCATGTCCTCCAAGCTCCATGGAAACTCGCTTCACAGTACCAGCTGCATGTTTCAGCAGTATCTGTAGGCAACAGAGGAGACACAGAAATTTGTACCTCTACCAGATGTGAACTGTGGAACCACAGATGGAAGGCAGTATCAAACTAACTCTGGCAGAGAATTAATCTGGATCTTCTCTATAATGCTAGACCATCTGTTTTCTCCTATGACAAAAACAAGGACTAATTGCCTCCATTAAAATCTTTAGAGATGAAATTCTGGCCAAGAAATAATGAAGAGAAGGATTTTCATCAACTTCAATTCAGGCCAAGCTTTTATACACTAATATTGTCATTCTTGTTTGCTTGTTCTTTTCTTTTTTGGTACTAAAATTCTTGACGGCTCTTACAAAATTTTTCCAAGATCTGACAGAATTTGGGATTAAGATTTGCCTTGATACCAGACTTTTTCTTCATTCTGCATACAGCCATCCCATAGAATTCTATCACCTTCTAGCCATGCCCTGCAGTTTGATTTCATTAGAGATGGTGACAAGATTGCTTATTGATCAAGACTGATAGGAGAGATTCAAGGGCCTCACTTCTCTAATACCTTCTCTCAACCACAGAAGCCATTCCCAAATAGTACCTTTGAAACTCAATTTCAGTGTTCTTATTAGTAAGTTGTCACCCTATGATATGAAACCAGAGCATCTGGTACAGAACTGTTCACATTATAATTTAATAAAGGGCAGTTATCCAGAAGTTGCACATAGGCATCCTTCTGTGAAGTACTGATACTAAAGTACATAGGCAGTATCTCAAGAAGTACACAATTATTTGGACAATCTGTGTACAGCAGCCAGAAAAGAAGGCAGCTCTGTATAAAGGCACACACTTTCCCCTGACCTTTCCAGTATAACCACAGTAATAATGTTCAAGTATATTCTGTGCGCTTATGTACCTTTCCTGTTGCTGTAGAGCCAGTAAAAGATATTTTGGCTACCAATGGATCAGTGCACAGAACTTCCCCTACAGCTGGTGTCTGCTGTCTGGAACAAGGAACAACATTATACACTCCCGCTGGAATTCCAGCCTGGTTTGCAAGCTGCAACAAAACAGACACAGAATTTGCATTATCGGTGCATTTTGTATGAGGAATAGTCACTTAACATTTGTTTGTTTCGAAGAAACCATGCTGTAAGTCAATGGAAGCTGGAAGTGCACAGCACAACTAGTAACAGGTGCCATGGTGTCAAGACAGCAGCTTTGCTCCAGTTTAAGGTCGGGCTGTCATTCAAAGTAACCAAAGGAAAGATATAAATATGTTTTGTGTAGCTAAATGGCCGGGTCCTCTTTGAGGGTCTAGACCGTGTAAGAGGCAACTTTCAAAGACTCTTACTAAACTAAGACTTCTGGATCAAGTCAGCCAGTTTGCCCTTTCTTCATGTATGAAGCTGGCCAGAGTTATCTTCAAAGCCCATCTGACTCCCCATTTACAACTTCAGTCCACTGCTAAGGTAAAGCTTAACATAAAAGCTCACCTCCCCAAGAGCTAATGCTGATAAAGGTGTGTCCTCTGCAGGTTTCACTACTACTGTACAGCCAGCTGCCAGAGCCGCACCAACCTTCCGGGTAATCATAGCGCTGGGGAAATTCCACTAGGATGAGAAAAGAAAAGTACAATCAAACTTGGGAAAACTTTGCCTCCTGTTTTTGCAGAAATAGCTGACATTTTCTGTAATTATGTGACAACCTAAACAGACCTGCATGATGTGCTTTGTCCTAAGTGAACGTTACAAAGAAGCACTGCCAATCCAGGAAGAAGCGAGTACAAGGTAGAAATGAAGCTTGACAGGGGTGTTTGCCAGGGTTGGAGGAGCCCTAAGGCCACAGCCTCATGCTGTGGGCTGAGCTGAAAACCTTCACATGACTTGAAAAATTCAGCTATGCTTACTGGGGTTATAATGGCCGCCACTCCTACTGGCTGCTTCAGCACCAGGATTCTTCTGTCTTTCGCAGACGCTGGAATGACATCACCATAAACCCGGCGAGCTTCCTCCGCAAACCACTCCAGAAACGAGGCAGAATACAGGATTTCACCCTCTGCTTCTTTCAGAGGCTTCCCCTTTGATTAAATCAGATTGAAGGTACACTGTAAGTGGCAGACTGAAGCAATAAAACCAAATTGAAGTAATTTCGGAGTTTCTGTTCTTTTAGAGCACTTTATAATCCCTATCACGTACACCGTGATCTCCAAAAAGGATTACATGAAAGCAGTAGCAATAGTTGTGCAGCTTCAGTACACCGTCACTGTGTAGTCAACATTTGGTATGTTGAGCCTGGATTCATACCTGCCCAAGACAAGGAGCTGGAATAGCAAATGTAGCACGTGTTTATTTACAAACTCTGCAGTTAGCTGCTACTACCATTCTGAAGAAGACGCAAATCACGGCAAGACAGTTACAAGTTTATGCCAGGGACGTTTGTTTCGGGGAGTATTACTTTGGACTACCTCCAGGTCCGACCCCGTGGACCGAACGACCATTAGCAGCTGGGACACCACAGAGGAGCTGCCGAAGTACCTTCCAGCACGGTTTTATCCACAAGGATACCCGTCTGCGAGCTCCCAGACTGCTCTGCCATGCAAACCAACGCACCCCGAGCGAACCCCGCTTGGGAACCTTGCGTTAACAGCACTGCCATTTCTTCCGAGTCAACGACACCGACAAAACACCAACCATTTCTGCCCTGAAGACCACGTTTTAGGGCGATGCGTGCTTTTGGGCACCACGAACCACAACGCGGGCCCGATTTCCACCGGACCCTTAGGCGCTGTGCCCGAGCCCCGCCGCCCTACTCACGTTCTCGGCCGTGATGATCCTCGCCAGCTCCTCCTTGTTCTCCATCATCAGCTCGTACCACCTGCGGAGGCACACGCTCCTCTCCTGGGGAGACAGACAAGGTTGCCGTGGTTCCCGCCCGCAGGGAGGCCGCGCCGCTCGGGACGAGCTTCTCCCTCACCGGACCGGACCGTCCGCCTCACGGCCCGGGCGGGCGCCATCTTCCGCGCTCCCCTCACCTTGGCGGGAAGGCGGCCCCAAGCGGCGCCGGCTTCGTGCGCGGCCCGCACTGCCGCCCTCGCCTCAGCCGCCCCGCAGTCGGCAACCCGGCCCAGTTCCTCGCCGCTGGCCGGGTCCTGTACGGGAAAAGAGGCGGGCGTCTCTAGCCAGCGGCCGCCCACCAGGCCGCCCCGGCGTACCAGAGCGGCGGGCAACCCCCAGCTGCCGCGCCGCGCCGCCGGAGCCGGCGGGTGAAGGAGGAGGAGGAGGCGGCGGCGGGCGGCGGCGG